CTCTCTCTCTCTCTCTCTCTCTCTCTCTCTCTCTCTCTCTCTCTCTCGTGTGTGTGTGTGTCTGTCTGTCTGTCTGTCTTATATCGTACTAACATGGTCATGTTGCAATAGAAATATGCATTCTAGGCTTAATGTCAATGCTAACTCACTGGGTGGCCCCAAGGCAGTTTCCCTGTTAGATCATTCCTCCCACCTCGAAAGAAAAAAAAAAAAATCTATGGATTAGATCAATAGTGCCTGACTCTGAAACCAAATGGAGAGAAATTGAAAAAGATCATCAGGAATCGTTGACTTGATTCACTGAGTAAGAATATCTGAAAATAAGGCCGGAGAGAGGGCTCAGCGGGTAAAGGTGCCTGCCTCCAAGATTCACAACCAGTTTGGTTCTCAGGACCCATATGGTGAGAGAAGAGACCCCACTCCTCCAAGTTGTCCTTTGACTTCAACATGAATGCTGTGGCACACGTGAATACACACACACCAAATAAATAAACAAATATAAAGACCCATTTGGAAATGGCATCTGAGATTATTTTTAAAGATCTACTAACCTGACCGGGTGGTGGTGGCGCACGCCTTTAATCCCAGCACTTGGGAGGCAGAGGCAGACGGATTTCTGAGTTTGAGGCCAGCCTGGTCTACAGAGTGAGTTCCAGGACAGCCCGGGCTATACAGAGAAACCCTGTCTCGAAAAACCAAAAAAAAAAAAAAAGAAAGAAAAAGAAAGAAAGAAAGAAAGAAAGAAAGAAAGAAAAGAAAAAAAGATCTACTAATCTACAACCCATTTTTTTTATTTTTTAAAAAATTCAGTCCTACCTGAAAGTTAAAAATTGGAGGGTGGGGGAATGAGAGAAATGGTTCAGCACTAAGTAGGACTTGCTGTTTTTGCTGAGGACCTGGGTTCGATTCCCAGTACCCAATTAACGTATCACAACAGTCAGTAGTCACAGTTCCAAGGGATCTGACTCCGTCTTCTGGCCTCCAATAGCCACCAGGTGCGTACATGGCATACAAACACATATAAAGGAAAAATACTCATATGCATATCTTTTTCATTGAATACAGTGAATTCAATAAAAACCTGAGGATGTGGCCCAGATTCACAATCCTTCATATCTGTATGTTGCCACTCATTTGAGTAGGCTCATGTGCTTGCAAATGAACAAGCACATATACATACATGCTGCTGAGTTGCTTTGAAACTACCTCAAACAATAGCATATTAACCCTGTCTTCGCTCTTTTTTTTTTGTTTTGTTGTTGCTGTGATAAAACACCATGACAAGGAGCAACTTATAGAAGGAAGAGTTTATTTGTGCTTATGGTTCTAAAGGGATACGGTCCACTGTGGCAGGAGGCATCGTGGCTGGGGAAGATTGCTGAGACCTCACATGACTGAACTCCCCAGTCATGCAGGAGGGAGGGAGGGAGGGAGGGGACAGGAGGGAGAGGGAGAGAACACTGGGCATAGCAGGAGGCTTTGAAACCCCAGTGAGTGACCTACTTCCTCCAGGAAGGCCACACCTTTAGACCTCTCTGAACATCACCACCAACTGGAAATCAAGTGTTAAAATAGGTGAGGCTACTCTCATTCAAACTGCTGCAGACCCCAAAGACTTCATCCTGCATTGAGGGTATTTTCTTTTGGGGGATATTTTCAAGAACATTTAACAGTTTCGTGCATATATGTAATGAGCTTTGTTCATAGCATCTCCGTGTCCCTCTCCCCAGTTGCTGAACTCCTTCTTGACAGCAAGTCCCTCTTCTACTTTCAAGCCTTATTTTGTGCCACAGTGAATTCAGGTAGGATTACTGACTGGGGGTGACTTACACTAAGTCATAGAGTCCTCCTTGCCATCCAATAACCATTAACTGTCAAGGGCACTTTCAGACATGACCAGGTTCTCACCGTGTCTACTGATTAGGAGAGGGTCATCACTATGTAGCCCTAACTGGCCTGGAACACACAGTGTAGGCCAAACTGGCCTGGAACTCAGGGATCCATTTGCCTCTGATGCCTGAGTGCTCGGACGAAAGGTGTGTGTAATGATGCTTTGCATGCCCACAGCTCCTTTATAAAGACTTTTGAAAGACTGCTTTATGTGATGAGTACTGGGCCTGTACATGTGCTTATGCACCTATGTCTGTCTGATGCCTGCAGAAGTCAGAAGAGGATGTTGTATTCTCTGGAACTGGAGTTATGGATGATTGTGAGCCACCATCTGGGTGCTGGGGCCTCTGCAAGGGCAAGCAAATAAACTCTCTCCAGCTCCATGTCCATGGATTTTAATGTGGTGCACTAATAATGTCTATTATGCAGCCATATGAAAAAATAAGAATTCGTTTTGGAGGCTCAATGGTTAAGAATACTGGATGCTCTTCCAGAGGACCTGAGTTCAATTCCCAGAGCCCACATGCAGCTCACAATAACTGTCTGTAGCTCCAATTCCAGGGGATCTGACACCTTCACAGACACACACATGCAGGCAAAACACCAATGCACATAAAAGTTTAAAAAAATTAAATAATTCTGTAAAATGCTTGATTTTATTGTATGCATATGGGTTTTGGCCTACAGGAAAATCTATGCCCCACATATATGCAATAATAAATAAATGTGAGTTCATTGATCCATCTTTAGCATTGAATGCAAAAACACCCACTTGCATAAGGCCCTGAGTTCACCACAGACCAAGATGCACTGATAACCAATATGAACTTCCAGGCTTTACCTACCAGCTGTTGACAGTCAGTACCAAAGCAGACAACATAGACATCCAGCTGCTCAGATGAGGCCTGACACAGACCTGCCAGGACGCAGTGTGTCTACTTACGGATTTTCCAGGCTGCTTCACTATGTAACCCAAACCTGTGATCCTCCTGCCTCAACCTTACAAGTGCTGGAATTTCAGGCATTTGTTTCTACAGCTGTCAAATTGTGCGATTTTTAAGATTTACTTTTTAAATGTACATGAATGTTTTACCTTCATGTGGTATGTGCACAATGTGTATATCGCTGATGCCTGAGGAGGTCAGAAGAGGGCATCGGATCCCCTGGAACTGGAATCATGGACAGCTGTCAGCCACCTCATAGGTACTGGGAACTGAACCTGGGTCCATCTCTCCAGTCCATTTTAATCAAAAGTGCTTAGTAGCTCACACAGAGGAAGCCACAGTAGTTTGAAGAAAAGGAGAATAGTAAAGTAGAAGGGGAAGCATGGATTGGAACCCTGGACCAGATAGATCATCTTACCAAGTTGCCAAAAGCCTCAAGTTTTCCCACTACAAGATGGGACTGAGATAGTATTACCTAATAAAGATACCTACAACATGGGATTGTTCTAAGAGTAAAGAAGAGAGAGCTTACAGCTTTTAGTCTGCTGTACAGCTCAGCTGGTAGAGTGCTTGTTCAGAATACACCAGGCTCTGGGATCTATCCCTGGCACAATATAAACATGGCATGGTGATGCCTGTTATCTCAGCACTGAAAATAGAAGCAGAGGAATGAGAAGTTCGTGGTGAGTTTGAAGGCACCCTAGGCTACATGAGACTGTCTCAAACAAACAAGAGAAAACCTTTCAACTTTTATGATCACCACACAAAAACGTAACATAACTTTTTAAACTTTCCAGTGTAGATATTAGCTCTAATTTGGTGGCCCAATTACATTTTTCGCTTTTTTTTTTTTTTGTGATGGGGTTTCTCTGTGTAGCCTTGGCTGTCCTGGACCAGGCCTCAAACTCAGAGATCCGCCTCCCTATTATGGGATTAAAGGTATGTGCCACCCCCGCCCGGCTGCTTTTTCTTATAAGCTAAGTTTTGGCTTTTATTATTATTATTATTACTATTATTACTGTTACTATTATTATTATTTGAGACAGGGTCTCACTGTATTTACTGGCTTCAAATTCGCTATGTTGATCGAGCGTGCTTCGAATTCACATATACCTGCCTCTGCTTCTGGAGGCTGAGATTTGCCTGGCTTGCTTAATTAGAAGGGCACGCATTTTCTCTAGCCTACACGTAGCGTCGGACCATAGATAGGCAACTACGCATGCGTCCAGTCCTAGCGTGCCGCCATGTTACTATGGCAGCCGGATGCGCCGCAGGCCGGAAATCAGAACAGTACTTCCGCCTCACAACACTTCCGGGTTGGAAGACGAGTGCTACGTTATCCGAGGGTAGGTCGGACGAGCTTTCGCTGAGTTTCTGCTCCCCTCCTCCCCCTAAGTGTGGCAGGCGGCTGTACTGCAGCCTCGTTTAGAGTGAGGCCGCGGCCTGAGGCGGATCTACCTGTTCCTCGCCGCCGGGGGCGGTGGGGGCCTGGGACTCAGGCCGCGGCCTGCGGCATCTTTCTAGTCTGCTCCTCCGGTCGCCAGCCCGGGGCACGCCA